CATCCAATTTTCATTTCTCACATTCATTTTTCAGAATTGATCAAAATTCTCTCTCAAATTCTTTCAACTTCTCCATTTCCAAAACTCACTCAAAGCTCTTTTTCATTGGAATTCTTGATTCTTCATTGGAATCAATGGATTCTTGAGCATAAACCTCCATTTACCATCACCATTGAATCAATTTTCATCTTCAATTTTCGTGCAAGCTTGGATCTGAATCTGGAGTTGGATCTAGAAGTGATTATTTGAAGATTTTTGACTCAAATTTGGTGGATCTTCATTCATACAACAACAATTATTGTGGATCGTGAAGTTTTCCGGATTTCTAGCATTTGATCTTCTCAAATTTAGTTGATCAACATTTACCGAAGCAAATCTCCGCTTCGAAGGTTGGAATTCTCGATCCGATTTAATTTTTGAGCGTATCATATTAATCTTCATATTCGATTGAATTTTGTTGATTTCGATCCGTTCGATTTGTGATGTTGTTGTGTAATCATGTATCCATGTTGTTGGATCTCTGCTTTCTGTTGTTAGATTCGTGCTTAATTGATAAGTTGATCTGTTGGAACCTTGGATAAGTTGTTTCTGTGCTAGAAGTGATTTTCTGCTGCTATTTTTAGCTTCTGGTGCAGTGTTAATCGGTTAACCTATATGGTTAACCGGTTAACCATTTCAAACTTTCAAATTTTTTTCAAACGTTAACAGTGTTAATCGGTTAACGCATATGGTTAACCGATTAACCTGTTTAATACATCATATTTTTCAAACTTTTTAAGGTGTCAACCGATTAACAGTATGTGTTAACCGATTAACATTGTGCCAGAATGTCACATTTGCTGTTTTGCTTGTTTGTTTGCATACCGATTCACATCGAATCATCGTAAATCAATACGATGCATTAGGAGTGAATTATTCTAGAGTTTTGGTTGTTGTTCTCGATTATTTTAATCGAGACTTCCTTGGCATGTGCTTGCATTTGGATTTCTTTTAAGTTTTGCATCTTTATTGTTTGCATCAATTCAAGGTCGAGATGAGCATGTGGTGGTGTCTACCCCACACTAATTTCCCTCCCTTGCTTGTGTGCTGCATTTTCTGTTTGCATCCTTATTTTCATACTTGTTTGTGTTTGGTTCCTTCTTCTTTTGTCTTTCTTCCTTTAGGATCTCTAATCTCTTTTGAGATTATGATAGACATTAGGTTCCTAACCATGCATGACAACATTAGGTAGATGTTTTCCTTTTGTATCCTAACCTTAGGTCCAATTTGCATGCTAACACTAGGATTGATCTAGTCCCCCCTTAGACCTTCTGTGCGTCTTCTCTCTTCTCATCTTCGAACGATTCTAACTTATCTAATAAAGGCGATAAACGTTGTGCGCTACGAATCTTAAGCTACACGGGGAATCATGAGTGAGGGGTCTCCTCTCGCTTATCTAGGATGTTTAGTATACGTCCCGTTTGGGGGCGATATACGACGTATTCGCCAACATGTCATAGTCTTTAGTGCAACGTGAATCACAAACCGAATTAATTCACTTCACTAAAAAACACAAATACAAAATTCAAACCTTTTTCCTTCGGGATTAATCGGAAACTTTTTTTTCCAGAAAAGAGTGTTGTTAAGCTTCGGTTCTACCGCAAACAAGCTTAGTCCCTAACTGCTGGAGCGGAGGTTTAACCTTACTCGATTAAAACACTTAATCAATCTGTGGTTTCGTGTCAGCCCGAACGACGTTTGCTCTGATCTTTCATACCAGATGAAAGTACGTAGGCACAAGACGCGATGTCTTGGCGAACAACCTTCCCCGTTCTTTCCCGTAGTTAGTCGAACTACGTTGACTCTGACTTTCCCATTGCACGAGGGAATACGTAGGCACAGAGCGGCGATGCTCTGCTGAGTCTCTTTTCTTTTTTTTTTGTCCCGCAAGTCTGTAGCGTAGATAGTTTAAACACACCCTTAGATAGACAACAAGCATGGATCTCATCGAGTACGACGGACGTGAGGGGTGCTAATACCTTCCCCTTGCGTAACCGACTCCCGAATTCAGGACTTGGTTGCGATGACCTCGTCTTTTCCCTTTTCGTCAGGTTTTTCCGATTGTTTCCTTTCCCTCTCTTTGGGATAAATAACGAAAGGTGGCGACTCTTTTGTTTTCCGCCGGGTGTTTTTCACAGTTGCGACACTTGTTAATCAAACACTTTAGAATTATCATCTTTGCTATTAAAAATTGTGACAATTTATGAACTAAAATTTAAAACTTTTTTTTTAGAACTGTAAAATGTTAAAAGGTAAGTATTAAGATATAGGACAATTTCTATGGAGACGATAACAAAGCTCCCTTGTATTCTACAATTAGCACTTTGGCATAATACAATAAGTTGTTCTTGGCAAAGTTTGAAATGTATTGTAAGAACTAAGATCTTGTTGAGTTTTTATTGGAAAGAAGATTGTGAGTTTTACAAGAGGTCAGTGTGCAAGCAAAATGATCAAAGGATGTAAACAAAGATGTAAGTTGGATAAGGAATGTAAGGTGCTAAACTTTGATCTGGTGTTGTGCTCACGTGATAATACATTATTGGAGCTGCTAACAAGATTGTTTGGGATATTTGTATGTATAGATGTAATTTCTCTTAATTTTATAGGCTTTCTTACATCATCTAATCTAATAAAGTAATCTAACTTCACTTTATCACTATTGGATTGAAAAAAAGTATTTGGAATTAAGATAATGGGATTGAAGATATTAGAATGTTGTTGTTAAGGAAGGCATTGAAGGCACATGACATTGAAATCAGTTGCAATTCAGAAGTTGTTAGTGAAGTGGGAGGAGTAGGAGTAATGATAAAGAAAATAATGGGAGTTTTTATCGAAGACTTGGTCGTTGTCATATTGAAGCTTCTTTTTATATCATTGTTACTACATAATAAGATGGTGCTACCTATGATAGTGAAATTGAGATTGACACGGTCTGAATTTTGGTAGAAGTGAAATGGTGCCCGTCGATGTGATAGTATGCAAGAAGTAAGTAGGAGAGACAACATGGTGTCATTGTCTCTGAGTAGTGTTCTCAGCTAAAGTTTGATGCATTTGGTCCAAACTTTGTAGCAAATACATCAATTTTGTTGACTAAACTTTCTCTTATGTATAGAACCTTAGGAAGTAATAAGAAGCATGGCTTACATTTTGTTGTCATTCATGCTCTTCCATGGTCCAGTATTTTTGAGTTGGCTTATATAATTCTGTTGAAATATACATATTGGTTATTTATCTCTTGGTGGAATGGGGTAAATCCTTAGCTGATTCTATCAATTATTCTTTAATTTTTTCTTAAGAGTACTATTAGTAACATATTCAAAATTTTAATTGCAAGCTGAGTTGTTGAAATTTTCAAAGGACTATATATTGATTTGCAACAGTCAAGATGGATGTTGCGTGACTTAACCTTTTGAAGATATACTATGACAGCAGATCAGCTAGTTAAATCAAGTTAAAATAGATATTTTGTATGGAGTTCAAAAGTATATTAACAAAATGCTTTAGAAGGAGGATTTATGTATGGGATTAGTCTCTTCCCCCTAACATACAACTCAAATCCTAGTGTTCAGCACTTTTTCATGTATTCTTGTTTATGATGGAAAAGAATGGGTAGTAGTTATACAAATGAACTTGACTCTAGAACCAAGAAAATAGTTCTACTATGTGAGTATTTAAGTCAATATTGGAAATGTATAATCTGAATGTGTAATAGCATGAGAGGAGTTGTGTAGATATTTAAAATATTTCAGGAACTCAACCCTCATATAAATCCTAATTTAAAAAGTGATATTTCATCTGTTTTGACTTTGACTGAGTCCATCAATAACGTGGACCTAGTTGTTAAAGTTGGTAGTGATGTAACTCTTCAGCATGCCTACCATTTAGCTGATGACAAAACTCTTGTTCTTGGAGTGAACTCAGATCCTACTCAGATTGATAAGGTTTATATACATGTATTTTTTTTCATACTGCTTTGGTCCACGCATGTTTTGTTATGTTTTGTTTCTTTCTACTAGTTTATGATGTTTCTACTAGTTTCATAAATATAATATAATTATGAAACTAAAACAAACATATTTTATTTAAACATAATGTGTAAAATTGTCAATATCCATAGTAAAATCGGGTGTAATATATCATATATTTACATTCTATAAAAAAAAAGTAGGGTGTAAACTTGCTAACGCCTATAGTAAATATTGTTCATCTTACACCTAATTTTTATCAAATGGGGTGTAAATTCGTTTAATTTAAATGCAATTATTTAAAATTTTACATCTGTTTTATATATATATAAATACAGATTACCAGCGGATTTTCTTGCGGAAAGAGGACCGCATTGTGGAATATTATTTCCTGCGAGAATTAACGTAGCAGCAAATTTCGCAGAGGTTCTTGAGACTTTAGCTGCGATTTTAGATTTAAAAGTAAAATATAAATTTCTGCGGAGTTAACTGCGATAATGTTCGCAGGAATTAATTATCCATTGAAACCACAAAATTCTCCGGAAATATTCAGGATTGCTGCGACGTTTGCTGCGACATTTGCTGCGGAATTTGCAATAAATGTTTCTGCGAATTTTACTGCGAATTGTTTAGTTTATTTTTAGTTTTTATTATGTTTTTACTATTAATAAATAAAATTATAAAATACATATTGATTCCAAGAATATGTTGTTGAGAGAGTTTTTAATTTTATATTAAATCTTTATTTTTCTTAAGAAAGTTTTATAGTATTAATTGAGTTTTTTTAGTTATTTTTTAAAGAAAATTTATTTATTTAATACTTTTTTATTGTTGTAAAAATTAGAAAAATAAAAAATTTAAGTTTATGATATAATTGTAAAATATAAGTTTATTTATTTAATAATTTTTTATTGTTGTAAAAATTTAAAAAATTAAAAATATAAGTTTATGACCTTACTACCTCACAGCGAGTTAGGTCTGAAGCAAAAAAAAAAAATGGAAACGGTTTCAAAGATATCGTCACTCTTATCATTATCCAAACCTAAACTCATTCACCACACCAATTCCTTTCTCTTCCCCGCTTCAAATCTCAAAACCCACAGCAGCAGCAACGTCGCTACCAGACTCACAAAGAAGAAGACAGAAGCAGCACTTGCCAAGGAAAAGAGACGAACTCATTCTGATGATTGCACTCTTGAGGCCGCTGGCCACTCCACTAATGTTAGTATCAAATCCATCAATTTCTCCAATTTCGTTGCAAGTTACTGCTTTCTATTCGTATGTATAGTCGCAACTAATCATAAACTCAAAGTAGCGAACTTAGCGAATCTAATTTCATATGTATTGAATGAATGATTGATGGAATAGGTGATTATAGGACATATAGAGTTGAAGTATTTTGTTGGAATTGATGTGGATCATGTGGCCAGCGACGTAGCTAAATCGCGGATCGGTTCAGTTTTGGACAATACCGAGTCTAGTGTGAAAGTGTTTACCATGTTAAGGAATTTTAGACAAATCAAGTCTGTGCTTAGAGGAATAGGCGAGGAACACTTGGGGGTTGCGTCTATTGATGCATCTTGATGGACCTCGGAATGTCATCTATGCAGGTACATTTTTTGAGTTTACCTAAGATACATTGATTGCTTTCTTGTGTTGTTGTGGCATATTCATGGTTTTAAATTTCAATTATGTTTGTTGTTTGAAGATGTATTGAATTTCCAAGTTTTGTGGTTGTATAATGTGATTGAAAATGATGGTTTTGTCTATTCTTATGGTGCTGGAATAATGGTCGAGTGTTTTCGTTGTATATTGATGAAGTGATGTTTTCTTATTGTTTAGGTGGATGATCCTCAAAGAGGATTTAGTGTGCTTGGTGATGGACCCCTTGATATGCGTATGGATCCTCAGGTATAGTTTAGTGCATTTCAGAGTTCAATTAAAAATTTATGTTATTTGGAGAAAGAATGGATATGATTCTAAAGTGATTGCTTGTAGAATAGATGCAATTTGCTCATCGATTTGTAGCAGTGAAAACTGAAAAGTGGTGCTATCATGTGAATGTTGTTTAGTGTTGAATTTTTTCTTTACTTTGCAGTCTCTCTCTTTCGTTAATCTGGACGGTCCAACTCCAGCCCCTTACCTGTATTGCTATTTCTATGATACCTTTTTTGTGGATATACGGCCTGACTTGTGTATCTATCTAAATTCTAAGCTATGTTTGGAGTTTCTTTTGATGGCTTTCTTCAAATCTTTCTCGCTAATGAAACATGCCTATTTCCTTTTACACATCATTGCAATATACTTTTACGCGGAATCATATTTTTTTATCCAGTTTACACGGAATCATATTTTTTAGCTTCAGACTATGACTGTTCTATAAATAAAGCCAATTTTGATTGTCATTTTTGAAGTTACTGGTCTACTTCCTATAACTGCAAAGGCTATGGGTGCTCAATTTGCTCCCATTTTTGTAAATCTATTTGATCATTTGATGAGATTTGCAGTGAGTTTGCAACCTAAAAATTTTACAGTTAGAATGTAGATTTAAATCATAACTAATGTTCTCACTTTGAAATGCAGAAAGCTTTGCGTCCCCCTCAAGATAGGACCATGGTTGTTGTGTGCCTTACTGAAGTTGCTCAGAACATGGGTTTTTCTATTGCAGACTATGTGGATGTAATTATGTTTTTCCTTTTTTGGATTTTTAATTTAATTTTATAAGTGTTTGCATTTGAGAATTGTTTTTGTTTTGTATAATGTGATATTATTTTCTCAGCGAGTGATGCCTCTGGTGCTTAAAGAGTTATCGTCATCTGATGCAACAAATAGAAGGAATGCTGCATTTTGTGTTGGGGAGTTATGCAAAAATGGTGGCAATTCAGCTTTGAAGTATCCTGTTCATACTACTCTTTTGATTGATATACACTAATCTTTCTATTATTTTAGGTTAGCTTATGGGGGTAGGCTTATATGGTTATTTATGTCAATCAATGTTAGTGATGTATTTAGTTCTTACAGTTGAATCTTGTATGCCTTGCATTTTCTTTAATCCAATACTAGATACTTTGACAATATATTACGTGGGCTTCGCCCCCTGTTTAGTGAGTCTGAGCCTGATCATGCAGTGAGGGATAATGTCGTTGGTGCTATGGCAAAGATGATTATGGTGCACCCTGAGTCTATTCCTTTAAATCAGGTGGTTTCCTGCTTAATTTGTATCATTCTCGCTCAATTAAATATGAATTTATAAACTAATAGCATGTTGCACCTCTAATTTTGTTGTTTGTACTTGATAACTGTTTTCTTATTGGATGTTGTCTATGTATGTCTCGGTTCTATTTTACAGGTCCTTCCTGTTTTCTTGAGAGTTCTTCCATTAAAAGAAGACCACGAGGAGTCCATGGCTGTCTATAGAACAGTCATAGTCTGGAGCTAAAATTGAGATTTCTATCTTATAGAAGTCACAATCATTCTTTGATTTATGGGTATGGTCGATGTAAGAGGTATAGAGAGGCTTTGGATGTTTTTGAAGCAATGAGGATGAATAATGTGAAGGGTGATGTTGTGACAATGGTGAAAGTTGTTTTGGCTTGTTCTGTTTTGGGTGAGTGGAGTGTTGCTGATGCCATGGTTAAGTACATTGAGGAAAATAAGGTGGAGGTTGATGTTTATTTGGGAAATATGTTAATTGATATGTATGGACGACGGGGTATGGTTGATCTAGATCGACGAGTATTTGATCAAATGCATGATAGGAATATGGTTTCTTGGAATGCCATGATCATGGGTTATGGGAAAGCAAGAAACTTGGTTGTTGCAAGGGAATTGTTTGATGATATGCCATAGAGGGATGTGATCTCGTGGACTTCTATGATCTCCGGTTACCCTTAAGCAGGTCAACTTATAAAGGCGGTGAGACTTTTCAAAGAAATGATGGAAACTAAGGTGAAGCCGGATAAAATAACAGTTGCCACCGTGCTCTCTGCGTGTGCTCATATTGGCTCATTGGATGTTGGAGAGGCTGTTCATGACTATATCAGGAAACGTGATTTGAAGACGGATATTTATGTTGGAAATGCTTTAATTGATATGTATTGCAAGTGTGGAGCGATTGAGAAAGCATTGGCGGCGTTTGATGAGATGCAGAAGAAGGACTCGATATCATAGACATCAGTGATCATAGGCCTTGCTGTCAATGGTCATGCAGATTTCGCACTTAATTTATTTTCACTTATGTTGCGGGAAGGTGTTAGGCCTACTCACAGAACCTTTGTTGGAGTTTTGCTGGCCTGTGCTCATGCTGGAGTAATATATAAGGGATTGGAATATTTTGAAAGTATGGAAAAAGTTTATGGACTAACACCGGAAATGAAATACTATGGTTGTATTGTAGATCTTTTGAGTCGCTCCGACGATCTAGAAAGGGCATATGAGTTCATAAAACGAATGCCTATGGAAACAAATGTTGTAGTATGGAGGATACTACTGAGTGCCTCTCAAGTTCATGGAAATCTACCCTTGGCTGAGATTGCCGCAAACAAGCTTAAAATTGATGATGTTATTGATGCTTCTCCTAACCGTGAACAATTTCCTGTCGGGCCTTCAAACCAGAAAGCTCTTAATGTTAAAGGATTGGAAGATATCAACTCCAAAGTGCTACCTTTGAATAGTGCCTGCTTGACTGGTACTGCAAAGGCTGGTGGGAGTTCATATCCTGATAACAGTGCTCATGATAACAACAAATATGGTCAGAGTGTTATGGATTTCATAGAGAATGATATTTTCAATTCTCTTACTCCTCCAACACACCCCCTTCTCAGACTCCAGGTGATTGGATAAACTTTTCTAATTGTCTTTTCGCTTGTAACTTAATGATTTACTTTGTTTGATAACTTTGAGTTGCATTTGTCAGGTCAGAGTTTCCACATCTCACGCGATCGTGCGAAGATAGAGAATCAAGGGAGCAAAAGCAGTAAAAAATCATCATCAAATAAGTCATCCAACAGTCTTGGAAAAAAAGCTGCCATCACTTATCTTAAGAAGATGCCTGGTTCAAAGAGGTTCATTTATGAACTTAGTTAACGCTAATCATAACAAAACTTCCCCAAAAAAACAAGAGAAAAAACACTAATTCATCGGCGTTTGACAAAGGCAGTGCTCACAAGAAATCAAGCCATGATTCTGTTGGGAGCTACCCTGTGGCAGCCGGAATTTCATAATAAATAGTCTTTGGCTTTAGGCATTTGGCTGTGTACTTGATTTTTTTATAGTGAAAATACCTTTAGCTATTGCATTCTATTTTGGGAGAGAATCTTATACCAAAGCCTAATAGTGACGCCTTTGTGTACTTTGTCAGGGGTGGTATGTCAAACATGACAACTGGCTTATATTTATTTACTTTAAAAAATTAATTGGAGGTTGTTATCTTGTGAAAATATGTTGGAGTCACTTTATTTGTTTTATACTTATTTATGCATCATATATAAAATTCGTATTTTTGCATCCAGGACTTCTTATGCGACACACGCACACTCACTCTTCAACACTCCAATTCACAATACTCCCAAACCGAACAAGATATGAATTCCGATCAACCACCAGTTTCAGAACGTCATCACACATTACTCCTCTAATTCCCTCCATGTCTCCACATGTGGTATGTGTTCTTGAAATTTTGGAATGTTCTAATTTTATAATTTATTATTATTCATTGCAGTTCTAGAATTTATCATGTTATTGTTGCACCCCAAAATTTGCCCAACATTTTCTTTTAGCTTGACTTATGTTTCATATCCTTTAGAATTTGCATTTGCATAGCATTGGTTCTTGACAGGGGATCAAGATGCTGTTTTGCCACTCAAGAGAATAGTTTCATGTTCAAGCTCAAGCAATAGCATATTTTCAAGTCATCAAGAGTTCTATCATCATCAAAGTTGGGTTTCAAAGCTCCTTGAGAGGAGAAAGTTTGTGTATGAGTGTCACCTCCTATCTTAAGGATCATCAGAGGTTCATGAGGTTACTTATTTGGATGAGGCATGATTCAAGGGTTCAGTAGACATCTAGATGGTTCTCTATGGAGTTGTATGATCACTCAAGTCACTGGCAAGAACCTAAGGCAGTGGATAAGATGTTAGGGTTTCATCTGGTCAACCAAAAGCCAACTGTGGACTTGAGAGGGCTCAAGACTTGGTTCTTGATCATTGAAGCCATGAGAAGTCATCTTAATTCATCTCTAATGTCATGTAGAGATCAATTCAAGAAGATTTAAAGGTTCAAGAAGTCATTAAATTAGGGTTGCAGATGATTCTAAGTGTAAAATCCCCTCTTTTAGTCTCTTACTTCAAGGACAAATTTCACTATGATACAAGTCTTGTCTCATTTTCTATCAAACATGATACCTTTTCACCATCTTTCAAGCTTTATTTTGAGTACTATAACTCATACATTGGGTTTGTACATTTCAAGTTATGGTATCAACAAGTTGGTGTCATAAGATGAAGAGATTTTTGAGGCATTTTAGGATAGCTCACTTCTAAGACATTTTTCACAAGGAACCAAGCTCGTCCTCACTTTTTATCAAACATGAAAGTTGTTCCTCATTGTTTTATCTTTCCAAAAAGTGCTAGAACTCATCATTCTCATGTGTGGAGCCTAATTTATGAATTTCTCAAGTCAAGGGTATTTTTGGAAACCAAGTTTTAGGTCATTCACATTAATGACCAACTCCATGAACTTCAAGACCTCTAATCCAAATTTGTGCCACATGAAAGTTGTGTCAAATGACCTTAACATCATCTTGAAATAAAAATCCATGATGTTTGATGGTTTGTGTGATCATTTGAACCATAATGAGCATGAAAACTTGATTTTTGGACTTAGTTTGAACTTCTTCCATTTCAAGTCACCATTTGAAGTTATTTTTTATTCTTGTACACCATAACATCATCATATAATGGTCATGCTAAATTTTACCCAATTTGAACCAACATGAAACCATTTTACAAGTCACTTTTTCAAATATCATACCATAAGAAGTCATTGTTCAAAACTTGGTGCCAACTCATTTTCAATCCTCAAAATCATCACCATTCATTTCTACACACTCCCTAATGTTCATTTGCTGACCCAAGAGGATTGTACAAGGAGCTAAATCGTGTGTACACCTCACTTGAAGGTTTTGGCAAGTTTTGGATTTCATCTCATTTAACCAACATCGGCCTGCATGGGATTCACTAGGCCTTCATATTTAAACCATAATTGAACCCTAATTACTCAGAAGAGAGGTTGCTGAGCAGAGAGAAGAGTTTCACTCAAAAATACACCAAATTTTATCTTATTCGAATTTGAATACACACTGAGTTTTCCTTTCAATTCTTGCTTATTTTATCATCACACGACATCAAGGAAGGGATTAGCAGCATCAGAGCAAAGCTTACAAGGCATTTGAAGAGCCAACGGAGCAGTTCCGTTAGGTAAGCTTCTAGTCTCTGAAACTCTCATTCTAGCCTTGCATTAGGGTTCATATCTAGTGCATTTGAAGCCCTACTTCATGTAGGCTATGTTTGGATCATTTTCATGTCTGTTTGAATGAGTTTCAGAATGTGCATAAAAATTTCGTGGCTTGTTTTATCCTAGTTCTAGGAACCTTTTTCAAAAATGGAGAGTGGATTCTTAACCTACGTGACAAGGGCTTTGATTTAGTACTATAGGTTGTGATTTTTATGACGGTTTTCACCTATCTCTGGTGAAGCTCTCCTGAGAAGATGACCGGAGCTAGGGCTCCAGCGTCTCAGGCTTGAGCTAAGGGGAAAGCTGACTAGGCGTTTGACTTGCACATGTGTCTTGCGCTGACTCCTACGTGGTGGCCAGCCAGATTAATGAAACGGAACGTTTCATTAAATCTAATGCCTTGTCGCGCCTTGGGCCTTGCCCATTTGTTAATTGAACCCCCTTTCTGTGAGGCCCAAAATCATATAACAAGAAATCAACTCAAACCATTTTTGCTAATGCACCCCTCTTCCCATTTTATTTTCTTTTATTTGCAATTTCATTTTAAATCTTTTAAAAATAGTTTTGACTATTATAAAAATCCCAAAAAATAAGTTTCTGATATTTTAATGTGTCGAGTTTATTTTCCATATTTTTATTTTATTTTTCAATTATTTTTGGTATTTTTAATTGATTTAATATTTAAAGAGGTTTTATGGTTTGTGCCTTGATTTGAATTTGATCATTGACCCTCATTTGAAAATCCCCAAGGACCAAATTTCCTCTCACAATTAGGCGATTGATTGAGGTATATTTGAGGGCTGGTTTGAGGTCTTGATGATCATTTTTCAATTGTTTCTCATTGGCTTTTTATGGACCCTCGATGCATACTCGACAAGTTGAACATGTTGCCTTCTTTGATTTAATTGGTGGTGCTTTGAATTGACTCTTGCCTTGAGATTTTACACACAGATTTTAGATTGGTTTAACTTGAGTTTTATGATTTATTTGGATTTTATTTGATCTCTTTTCTATTTTTGGTGAGTACTTCAAATTCAAGTTTTTTCAGCCATGTCTATGCATACAATTCTTGACCTAGTTTTGGGATATGATCATGAGTGATCCCTTGAGCATCTCTTAAGCCTTGTTAGCTTTTGTTAACATGCTTGAGGTGCTGCCTTGCATGTTTAGAGATCAATTGTATGTGTACCTTGTGCCATAAGTTTCATTTTGATCTTGTCTTTCTACTTGTTTGAAGTGTGAGATGTTTAGATGGACTTTGGTCCTCTAATTGAACTTGATCATTCTTGTGTTTGCCTTCCTTTTTTATCTTGAATTTGAGGTTTCTCACTTGAGTTTCACTTCTAACCTTGATGGTCATGGACTTGTTCTTGATGCTTTGGTGATGTTTGTTTCGCTTTGAGGTTGCTATGAACAAGTAAACTCCTTTTGCATTGTTTGGTTGCTTTGTTTTACTTGATCATGTGTAAGTGGATGGATGAGTTGATTATGATGTGGTTGCTTCCCCACAATCTTTCCTCCTTCACTTCTTTGATTGTGCTTCTTTGGTTGACACTTTTCCTCTTGATGATTGATGGTATTTGGTTGTAGAAGCTTGCTTCTCCCATTTCATCTCATCTCTCTTGACTTGTTTAAGACTTCCATTCTTGCACTTATTTGGTTGCATTGTTTCATGTTTACATTTGTGTTTTCATTTCATATTTGTTTCCATTTTGCATTGAATTGTTTAAGTTTTTCATTTCATTTTCATCTGTGATTGATTTAGCATTGTGTTTACTTGTGCTTCTTGCCATGATCCCTTAGGATTCCTAGTCCCTCTATTTAAGATGGGAGTAGGAGAGAAATTAAGCTTTCAATCCTTTGTATGATAATATTAGGTAGTATACCTTTTCATCCCAACTTTAGGATTACTTTGCATGATAACATTAGGGTTTACAATTCCCTTTAGAGTCTTGTGTCTTCTCTTCTCATCTTATAACTATTTAAGACACTTAATAAAGGATAAAAAATGTTGTATTCTACGAGCCTTAAGTACATAAGAAATGATGAGTGGGGGTCTTGTTAGATGCCAAATTTCACTTATTTGATCTATCAACAGTTGGCATCTTTCACTCATTTTCGTCAATTAAGTGTTGAAAACCACTCTTATTTTGGTTGGTTTGCAACATTATGAGAAAATTTCTTGGTACCTTTGATTTGTGTGTTATTGTGCAGGAATTAGACACAGAACAAGTGAAAAGTAAGACACAAGAAATGGGCAAGGAAACCAAGACAACATGCAAAACCACCAAAATATTGTCATGCTCGCAAGGCGAGCAGTTAGCGAACAACTCGCTAGCTTGCTCGCTAGGCGAAAAGGTAGCGAATAACTCGCTAGCTTGCTCGCTAGGCGAACATGTAGCGAACGAGCCCAGAATTGGACAGATCTGAAAGTACCAAAAG